GAGAGAGAGAGAGAGACGGCGAGAAAGTATTAGTTGGGGACAAAGAGTAATCAGCAGCGTTAGAAAGAGTAACCAGTAAACCCAACAATTTAACCAGGCACGTCCAAAAATATTAAAAAATAAAAATATAAAAATTATGAAAACTATATTTAAAACGTAATTAAACAAAAAAAAGGAAAAAGATAAGAAGATATAAAATTAAATATTCATGGTCAAAATTTCCAATCTTTGCTAAAATAATAATAAAAAAAAAATTTACAACCAAATCCCTTATTTTTTTGGGATTTTTTATAATTATTTTTACTTTTTTTAAAAGACCCGATCTGACCACCAAAAAATCAGTTCTGCTGACCGAGTCAAGTTGAACAGCTGGGATTGTCAATTGATTCTCTGGGATAAGTAATTAACGAAAAGGATTTGTCAATTTATTCTCTGGGAGGATAAGTAATTAAGGAAAGGGTTTGTCAATTGATTCTCTGGGATAAGTAATTAACGAAAGGGATTTGTCAATTGATTGCTAGGATTTGTCAATTGATTGGTGGGAGAGAAAGAGTAGATTGATTGCTCGGGAGAGAGAGTAGTAAGTATTTAACCATACGGATTCGCCATTAACATAGACAAAAGAGTTGAGAGTAGTAAGTATTTAACGATACGGATTCGCCATTAACATAGACAAAAGAGTTGTTGGGGCTTGGGATTTACGATCGTGAGAGAGGGAGAGTAGTTGGCCTTGGAATTGGGATTTATGATTAAGAGAGAGTAGTTGGCCTTGGAATTGGGATTTATGATTGAGAGAGAGTAGTTGGGGCTTGGGATTGTAGAGGGAGAGAGGCAAGTAGCTCGGATTTGGGATTGTCAATTGATAGATATGGTAATTCATAGATTAAAAAGGGAATAAACAACTTTTACCAAGCACCCAGAACTAAATAAAAAAGGAGAGAGACAATCGAACGAGAGAGATCAAGATTCATGTAATCAATCCTAATTAATTAAAAAAAAAAAATATATATGATGATGAGAGAAAAATTCAAAATAAAATAAGGAGAATGATGAAAATTCATAATAGCATAAGAAAGGAGAGAAATTCATAATAGCGTAGAGAGAGATATAGAAACGGTTGGGATAATAAAAGAGAAAAGCTGAAACCACATAAATAAAGGTGTCTGGAAACGGGTAAAAAAAACAACCCTTAAAAAAAAAAGTAAATAAAAGGGTTGCCAAAACAAAGAAAATCAAAACAAACTCAAATAATGGAAGACCTTTTTGGGAAAAAAGGGAAACCTAGGGGAAAAAATTGGATGGTAGCCAAACAGAAAAATTAAGCTGTGATTTGCCACCTAACGTTACGTGTTCAACCAACCTTCTAGAGTGCAGTGACCTTTTCTTGGAGAATTACAAATGGGTGTTGTTTGTATAACGCTGAGGACCTAAAATATCATAGTAACCTTCAAATAATGTCCAAAGGTTTATTAGGTTTGCTGCAATTCCATATTGGGAATCTTTGTGATGCCTTTGGAATTTAGTTTTATATCTAATTATAAAATTTAAAGCTTCAAGAATAATGTTGATAATATATATAGATATAGCTAATATAATATATTATATTTTATATATATATATATATATATTCCAAAATTCTATAGTTCAATAACCATTTCTTGGAGAATAATTAATTATACTAAAAAAGCATATATTTTCCAAATTTCAAGAGCCGAAAGACCAATCAACTGATAATTACTTAAAGGAAACTATATATTTTCTCAATATTATAGAACAGAGATTTCATTTTTGAGAAAAGAGACGTTTCTAGTGCGTGGATCCCAATTTCCAGCGACGTTTCTAGTGTGCGGATCCTAATTTCTAGAGTTCAATGACCTTTCAGACAAATACTAATACTAAAAAATCAGATATTTTCAAATTACTAAAAAAAATCAGTTATTTTCCCAAATATTTCAGACCCAGAATCATTTATAATGAATGAGATAATTTTGTATCCAAATTCCAGAATTCAGCTAAATCAGATATTTTTCGCCAATAAATTAGAAAATCAGACCCAAGATTTTATTTATGAGAAATAAAATATTTTTAATGTTTCATCCAAATTTCCACAGTTAAATGACCTTTACTGAAAAGAATATTTAAATAATGATTAGCTATTCAGGATTTTAAAATTAAAAGAAACTATACTCCATTTATAATTTCATTTTACTTTTTTTTTTTTTTGTAAGCTTATCTATCAGAAAAAAAAAAAAACAACCTATTCACTTTATCAGTTACAGGAAAAAAAGGGGAAAGGAGAATATATATATTTTTCTTGAACTTAAGCGAATAATTCAAAATCAACATATAAATTATTTCCTGAATGGAATCCTATGAAAAAGGAAAACTAACAAATATCAATTGCAAATAGAAGTTGAAATAGAAGATCTACGCAAATTATCGAAAAATCAATAAAAGCATTTCAGCTTGAATAGATATCATTAAACTCTACCCATATTTGATCATTAATTTGTGATAATAAAGGAAGAAAAGTATGAAATCTTAGAAAAACAGAGGTCAATTCCCAATTGTTGAGAAATAATTCAAGCACGAGGTCTTATGAAATAGCTAAAGTCCATGGAATTCTTCCATTTTCACAAGTGTCCACAGTCATCGATGAATAAATTTGCAGAGACAGAACATAATATAATAATAAACTAGATTAATATTCAAGAAAGTATAAAAAACAAGCAAAAAACAAGCTCATCTTTTTAAATTTACAAAAAACAAGATGAAGAAATCACAAAAGAGATAAAAATGAAGAAAAATTCATGTAAACCTTTAGATGTTCATGAAAAGATTTCAGGAAATAGAAATCACAGGTAAAAATTCATGGTAATTCCATAAAAAACATGTCTATGCGATCTTGATACCCTTTAATACGGTTTCAATCGTGGAGAAAAAAATGGAAAAGAAATAAATCCCCAGAATTATCAGAGGAAACACACAAATGCAAAAGAAATAAGAGTCAACCCAAACATTTATAACAGTTAAATAAAAGCCTACTCACCAGTTTCCGAACCAGATATAAGGAGGATTGACCCTCGATCTCTCCAAACCCTAGCTCGACCAGCGATGGCTGACCTAGAAAACAAGGGCTCTGAAAAATGGAAAGCTAGGGGTTCTTTTCCCGATCTCTGAAGCTTTTGATGGAGCTTTAATGGCGGATTTAGGCAGAAAACGCTGAAATGTAATTTAGGGTTTCAGTGATTGCAGAAATTAGGGTTTGGGTAAAAAAGGAGAAAAGAAACTCAATGACAGAGAGGGGGAGAGAGGTTTTAAAGTGATAAATTTTAGAGAGAGAGAGGAGCCGAACCAGAATGGATTTGGTGGGAATATAAAACATGAGGGGAGGCTATTTATCGGCTCGTTATAGATAAACTCAAGCTACGGACGCAGCGTTTCGTTCGTGTGCGACGTCCGGCGTTTCGTACCTGTAATCAGCTGGCATTTTTTCACCGGTGTAGAAATTCGCGCTTTCGATATAACGGACGTGGTAATAATAACGGTTGTTATCGAAGGGAAAAAACCGTTTCGATGGGTGATTAGTGGCAAACGGGTCATATGCTACCACGTTCTTAAAATCGAACCGGAACGGTTAACTGAACATAGGCCTGAAAGTGGTTTAACCGGCCTAACCGGTAAATCGGCTGATTCAACCGTTCTAATCAGTCAAGTCCTGAGCGGTCAAAAAATTGTTTTTAAAAAAAAAGAGGTGCAAAAAAAAATTTACTAGAATATGAAAAACATATCAAGAATAATTAAAACAAAACACATTGAAATGAAGTTGAAAATTAATATAAAAAAATAGATTTTAACGAATCGATTTGTACCTAAAGATATTTTTAAATGTTTTCTAAAAAGATGGAAAAATATAAAAGTGAGTATTAATGACCAAAACAATTTTTTAATCTTGATAATAGTCTTGAAAAAAATACATCTTTGTACCATTTGTAATGAGAGAGTGTTGGAGATCTTAGATTTGATAACAAATCTTCAGATCTCGCAGCCAACAAAGCAGTGCTTCCTACAAAATGGAGGGTGGTGGTATATATCAATGTATTGATTGCATCTCCTTCTTGTACTATATTATCTTGGTCAGTTTCATATTTTACTATCCATTGTTTTGAAGCATTTAATATTTAATTTTTTGATTCTTCATCCATATGAAAATCCCACCAGCCTCTTAACCATCATGTGAACCCACATATTATGGCTTTGGCTATCTCATGATCTTAATTCACGTGCCTTGCAAGCAATGGCGTACATGGTCATGTGTTTCATGAGATCTAAAATTTGGTTTTCAGCCATACCATCTATGTTCCAATTTACTATGGATTTTCGTGAATAGGAGACTGAGGTAGAGATTAAATCTTCTTCTATCTGTAGATCTATTGGGGTAGGCCTAGGATAGTACATTTTGGTTTGGGACACTGGTCTTACTTTTCTCCCATAATCAATTCTATTAATATCTAAGCTTTCAGTTTTTAAAGCTTTTTTCATATCATCAATTTCTTTGTCAGGTGCCTTCTGCAGAACCTGAACATCTCCTTCCTTAGTTTTGAAAGACTGGGCTTTTTTATTAATATTTAGCTTCTTTAATCTTCTGACCAGTTTATCTATTAACTCACTATTTTCCTCTTTTTTCTTTATTCCTTGCATGCTGAATTTTTCTGTTTCAATAGTTGGAGGAGGTTTGAATAGGACGGCTTCTTTCTGCTTATCAAAACTTTTGATTTCAAGAGTTGGTTTTAAGCTATTTACTGCATTTTCTATTCTTGTGATTTGTTTACCTATTGCTTGGAAAAAAATATTTGTATAATTATTTTGCTCAATAATATGAGGTATTCTTTCAAGCTTGGCCATATTATAGTCACTTTCTTTAGGTCATAGTTTGAAAGGTAGGGCTTTAATTTCAATTTTCTCGCTGAATATTTCACCTTTAAGTTGCAAATTAGTTTCAGAGGAATGAATGGATTCAATTGTTTCTCCTTTGGTGGTTTGAAAGGTCTGAAAAGATTTTTCAACTATATTTACTTCAAATTTTGGAATTTTTATTCCATAATCTTTTGCTATATAATTTAACCATTTAAAAAATTTGATAGTTGCCTTGTGCTTCATCATGAAACGATTAAATTTTAGATGGAAGGCATCTCTAAGGGGTTCTTTAAATTTTTTGAAGAACCATTCTCTTATCAGTCTATTTTCTTCAGAACAGAAGTCTTTTCTAATCCATTCCTTATTAATCTTGAATTCTTCCTTTTGAATAACACATACTTCAAAGTCAAGATCTGACGGTGTTGGTTCTTGTTCTTCCACTTCAGAAGAACCTGGAGTTTCTACTTTATAGACTGGTTGTTGAACCTGATTTAGAGTCCTATTAAATCTTTCTATAATAGTTCTCCTATGAGTGGGTATTCTTTCATATTCAGATTGTGGTACGGAAGAGGTTGAGCTTCTAGGAGGATGCCTAATGTTTGATTCACCAATTGTTAAAGTAGTCATTATGGAGGATGGAAAACTGATTTCTATCTCTCCATCAGAGTATTCTATTATTTGTTCAGGGTCTCTATTTTCAGGATTTTTAATTTGGGATTTAGATTGTAAAAACCAACGCTCTGGTAGTTTTACTTGAGACCATGCCACTGACTTTGGTATAACTAAATTTGATTTTTCCATGTTTGTCTGGAAAAATATGGTTTGTCCTTTTAGATCTTGGACACAAAGTATTCATCACTTTGTAACATATTCTGTAAACAAATGCCAAGTTCTGAGAACCTGGGTCTATATCAAAACCTTGAGTTTTAAGGTTTAGGGTCAGAACTTTTAATAAATTAGGATTTCTTAAGGCTACCGAGAAATTTGTAAAACAGTTAAAATAGATGGGACCATTACAGAGATTAGCTTCAACTATTCCTAATAAGGAATCAATGAATCTTTTATGTGTGCTGTCTCTCAAACATAGTAGAACAGAATTATTTAATCATGTCCTTGTTAATGGTTTGACAACTATTTGTACTAAACCAATATGCAAATATTTGTAATATTTTCTTTTATGATCTTCAATCATTCTTGGAGAAAGTAATTGGAATTTATCCTGAGTTTTCATAACATAAATACTTTGTTCAATGGTTTTGATAGAAAAACTACTTTTAAAATCAAACATTCCTTTACTATAAACATCAGTTATAAGTACCTTAGGTATATTCCAATTTTGGATCTGCTTTTCTATATTATCTATTATTACTTCTTCTTTATTATTAACACGTAATATATTATTAGTAGTAGCTGACCTATTAGATAATGCTCTGATGAAATTTGCCATTATAGTTCGAGTCAACATGAAACAGTCTCTACACTTTTCTAGCGCTTCCTGGGCTTAGTGATCTTTGGGTCACTACGACTTTGAACTACTACTGCAGATTTTTCATAATCTTATTTAATAGTTCAAATTTTTTAGAAACTTGGCTCTAATACCATATAGCGGATAAAGCGGATTATGACAATAAGTCACAGAGTAATAAGTCACATAGTAATTATAATAAGCATAACACAAAAGACATAAACAAAACAATAAACTTCACTGAGTAAACATGACTATAGATCAAATTTAATAAGTAAAGTAAACTCACATTTCACATATACAGAAGCTGATAAATAACTTTAGCTGTTCAGGGATATAGTCAGGAACTTCCTTCCAAAAGCAGTTTTACATTTGAGTTCTTACACTAGTAAAGAAGAGAGCAGAGAGATAACTGTATAGAAGAGAGCACAAAAAGAGAATTGTATTCCTCTTTTTAAATTATATACATATATATATATATATTGGGTCGGGTTGATCTTGCTTGACCCGACCAACTCGATAAAGTCCAAGATGTACTACACACATATCCAAACCCGACCTAGGTCGGCACTAAGTGATTTGGATCCATACCTGACCCACCAAGTGCAATATTGGGGTCCCGACCTGGACCCCTACCAGGTTAGTTTGATTGAATTGCCACCCTGGAAAAGTTATTGTTTAATGTTGTAAAGGTTATGAAAAAGGATTCATACGCTATTTCGAAATAAAAGTCAACTGATGGATTTAAATTTCAATGTTTTAGTTCTAATCAATATAAAATTTGGGAATACCTTATTTTGTAATTTGTATTTGTTTTTTTTTTTTTATAGCTGATTCCTTAACTATCAATATACTGGTAAACACCGACAACAACCGTTATTATATTGCCCTTTATTTAGTGTTCTCAAATATTTCCGTTATTTCCATCACATTCTAGTTTTGCCCTTTTCCCTTTTTGCCCTTTCTGTTCTTACAGCGATTCTTGGTTATAACGGACCTCGTTATTTAGTTGCTTCATGCGGTTACACCGCAAAAGACATGCTTTGAAGGATGGGAAGGGAGCGCATGAGGAGCGCATGATTACTGAAAGAAAGGTATATAAAGTGAGTATTTACTTTTAACTAAGGTTTAAAAAAGCATATTGATGAACCGGAACACTCATTCTAAAAATCGGGTTGGATAAGTGGATAAAATATCCAGATCGAGCGGTTTCGGCCTAAAAATATTTTTTAAAATAACTAAAATCCCTTCAAATAGTATTTTTTGAGTTAAATTTTTTTTTTTTGACAGTGATGTATTTATACTTTCATTATTTTTACAAAAATGCATAAATATTGAGACATGGTTTTTCTGTGTAGATTTCCATTGACTATTGAGTATTCTAGGGTTATTTTTTCCTTTGCATTGTCTTAATCTCCTTTGAATATTAAAAGAACCCAAAAAAGAAAACAACAGATAGATGTCGCATTCTTTTAATTTCCTTTGTTGAAAAAGTTTCCTTTACACTATATAAGTTTATTTATATAGTTTTGAAATTAGCTACACGGTATAAAATCAAAGTAATACGGTGTAAATAAGATATGGTGTAAAACAATTAGAAATTAGCTAATTTAAATGATGTTGTAAAATTTTTAAATTAGCTATTGCATAAAATAACTGTGTTGTAGATTAACTATGTTTAAACTATGATGTGAAGAAAATATAGCTAAGTTTATAGTATGTAAATAAACTACATATATAAAATAGCTTTAAATATTAACTATGTAAATTAAGTAATAAACTATGTAAATAACTATGTAGCTTTGTTGGGCACGGTAAATGTCTTTTATATAATATGACATCCAAAAGTTAGTAAAATGTCTTCCTACACCAAATAATTAGAAGGAGTGAGAGTTTCCATAAATTCATCACGCACAAAGACAATGAGACTTTAACGCCTTGATGACGTATGGTGGCCACTTTGCAGCATTTTTT